CGCAAAAGGTTGCACCAAAGGTTGGGGCAACTATTTCCCAGGCTTCTAGCTCGGGAAACGCATAGGGCTAGTGGAAGTGATAGCGGCTTCTACTCAAGATGAAGTGGGAATGATACCCTCCTCACTTCATGACAAGGCCGAAGCTAATGACTCCTTAGCTACCCCGCAGACGCATCTAGACCAAACTATGCTCTGTGCGTTAGATGTGTCTGAGGCCTTAGAAGACTTAGAAGGCGAGTGGTCAAACAAGGACCCTCGTGAGTCTTGGGCGGCGCTAAAGAAGGGTCCTAGAGGGGAACATTTCGTTGTGGAAGTGGATGTAGGAGGCCGCAAATGTGGTGCCTTCATAGACACAGGCTCCACGCGAAATTACATAAGTCGCGAATGTTTGGAAAGGCTGCACCTACATGACCGGGTACGACACCTTAGTAGACCAGTAGCATCTACTTTGGCCAACAAAGAGCGCATGATTGTCACAGACTACCTCAAGGACGTAGTCTGTACCTTCTCCTATGGAGGAGGTGAGCTTAACCATAAGATCTTGTTCTTGGTTAGTAACGACTCGCCATTTGACATGTTGCTAGGCATGTACTACCTCGATATTGCTAAGCCCCAGTTTGACTGGGATAAGAAGGTGCTCAAACAGAAGTTGCCCGATGGCCGAACTGTCAGAATGACTAAGTTCAAGGCCAGTAGTATTATAGATACCTATGGCTGCTTGTGCGCATCTGCGTTCTACAATTACTATAAGCAAAACCAAGAGGAAGGTATGTACCTTGTTTATGTCTCTGAGAAGGGGGAGGCCGTTAAAACACCCCCGGAGATAGAACGGGTCGTTGCTAAGTTCCCTGATCTGTTCGAGGAGCCCACAGGAGTTGTTGATAGGGAAATCGTCCACGCTATAGAAATCATTCCAGGGAGTAAGACCCCAAAGGGAAGGATCTATAGGATGGCCCCTGCCGAGTTAGATGAACTTCAGAAGCAACTCAAGGAGCTGACAGAGAAGGGATGGATTCGGCCTAGTACTTCCCCTTACGGATCACTCGTGCTATTCGTACCGAAGAAGGGGGGTACTTTGAGGATGTGCATTGATTATAGAGGCCTCAATGCCATCACTGTGAAAAACGCAGAGCCTCTACCTCGCATAGACGACCTACTGGATAGGGTGCAGGGATGCAAGTACTATACGAAAATAGACTTGAAATCCGGATATCATCAGATCGCAATAAGACCTGAGGACCAACACAAGACAACTTTTCAGACTAGATATGGTCTGTATGAGTTTGTAGTGATGCCTTTCGGTCTTTGTAATGCGCCGGGTGCATTCCAGCACGCTATGAATCGGATCTTCCATGATCATTTAGATAAGTTTGTTGTAGTCTATCTAGACGACATTATGATCTTTAGTAAGTCTGCTGAGGAGCACGCACAGCATGTTGAGACAGTTCTCTCACTCCTTCGACAGCACAAGTATAAGGTCAACTTAGAGAAGTGTGAGTTCGGTCGCAAAAAGATTCTATGCTTGGGTCATGAAGTATCCGCGGAAGGGATTAGGCCGAAAGATGCGAAGGTGGCTAGAATTCGAGACTGGCCACGACCTCAGACAGTCACTGAGGTCAGATC